ACTCTAGAATATGACTGTATTTGAGGAATTATAGTTGTACTGGGCATGAGAAGTGGTAAAAAGAATTATATTGAGGAATGAGGGAAATGGTATTTTTCTAGGCATTAAGGATTGGCTCTTCGTGTAATTTATCTATTCTGGAAAAAGTAATATTTTCAACTAATCAGAAAATGAAGCAATATGTTCTGCTCTGGAATAGATTTCATGAAATTTTATAATAATACAGTGATATTTCTAGGTAGTAGTATATATTTTTATATTTGATTATTGCATAGTATTACAAGATATCCTTTGTAAACCTGTGACATTTATACATTTAACCTATATTTTAGATGTATAGTGTTGTGATTTGTTAAGTTTTGTTACAATCTTAAGAAAGTTTGGGGAAGGGCCCTTTTTTCATTTATTTATTGACATGACACCTATGGTTTCAGGTTTAATTTTCATGTGGTTTGTTAATTGTTTTTAATATTGCCTTTTCTGTAGGCTATCTTTTCTATTCTGGTGCTGTGTGGGATATTGTTTTTTTTGGGGTGGGGGTAATCTTATAATAAAAAAATAAATATTAAAAAAATACTACACTTAGCAGTATCTTTCTATAACGTCTGCCTTCTATTCATCAGCAGTGTGTGTGTGTGTGTGTGTACACAAAGCTGTTACTGAGCATTAGTAAACATGTTCCCTCTTCTTGGGAAACCCGGTAGATTTCTTTTTAATATATTACGGCATCCTTTGAGGCATCTCATTCAGAATTTGTTTCTAGCTGATTAGTTTGCATGGGGATGTTGATTAAAAATAAGATTAGGTTCCCTCCCCCCCAAAGAACATGGCAGAGAAGAGTCCCTGTTTTGCTGTCGGGGTTAATTGTATGGGGGCAACAGGAGACATGAGACCTAACCAGCCAACCCCGTTAAAGAAGCATTGGTCTGATCCCCATCTGTTCTCAAAATGGGTAACCACCCATACATCTCTGATTGTCTTCTATTGCCCTGACCACAGATGCTGCTCAAGAGCCTGGGGCCTCTCTCCTGAATAGCTGCTATTTTGCATCATTTCCTGGGAATCAGGATCAGAATAGAGCTGGGAGGCACCTTAGAGGTCTTCTAATCCAGCCCCCTGCTCAAAGAGGAGATCCTATACCCGTGACGGCTAACCTTTTTCTTGTCACGTGCCGAAAGTGCAAGCACACACATGCCTCCACTCATAATGCAATGCACCACGCACCTCTGCGCATGCGTGAGTGACCCCCCAAATGTCATGCACGTCTGCACATGCGTGCGACCCCCCGTGCTGCGCACCTCTGCACATATGCATATGACCCCCCCGCACCCACCTCACCCTCTGCGCATGCGCGTGTGTCTCCCCTGTGCATCTCCCTCACGCATGCATGGCAAATACCTGACAATCAGCTGGCTGGCAGGGGGCACACGCATGCATGCACAGTGAGGCTGTTCCGGGCGACCTCTCACATGCTGGCAGAAATGGCTCTGCATGCCACTTCCGACACGCGCACCATAGGTTCACCATCACAGCCCTATACCATTTCAGACAAGTGACTGTCCAGTCTCTTCTTTAAAAAAACCCTCCAGGGATGAAGCACCCACAACTTCTGAAGGCAAGCTGATCCACTGGTTAATTGTCCTCACTGTTGGGAAAATGCCAAAAGCTCACAGCAGCTTCTATTGCTTCGTTAGATCTATAAGTCCCTACACCAGGGGTGGGATTCTACCAGTTCGCACCTATTTGCTAGAACCGGTTGTTAACATTCTAAGCAGTTTGGAGAACCGGTTGTTAGAATAAATTACTGGCCTAATCCTGTAAGGAAGGCAGGAAGGAAACATTCTGGTGTTGCTTACAGAAACTGCCTCTCCGTTAATCCTTATTACATTCTTGGCAGGACTAGACTTCCTGTCTCAGGAACGTCTCTGGAGTTTTTTCCCCCTCCTTTGCTGGTACTTTGCTTGTGTGGAGTGACCATTCAAAGTTACAATGGCATCGAAAAAAAGTGACTTATGACCATTTTTCACACTTACGACTGTTGCAGCATCCCCACAGTCATGAGAGGCCAGGCGAGGAGATGCGTGCCTCGATGTGAGTGATGTTGAGTTGGCCACACCCAGCCAGTCACATGACCACCAAGCCACGCCCACCAACTAAGCCACACCCACCGAACCGGTTGTTAAAAAAATTGAATCCCACCCCTGCCCTACACCCAGTTTGTTCAAAAGCCACCGTGTGTATTTTTGCCAGGATCTGTAGGGTTTAGAATGAGCCCTCAAAGGAAAGGATCGTGTTTTCTCGGGACTCTTGTAGTTCAGCGAAAAGAGGAAACAACGCCCTCCTCCTTCCTTGGTCAGAGAGTATGGATTGTGCATCTGTATGGGAATCAGATCTGAAAATAATTTAAGTCCCCAATTTTATACTCTGCATTTTTCAGATGGCTGCTGCAGCAGGAAGAATCACCTAATAAAACTCACTTAGAAGCATCTCTGCCTGGCAGGGAGGATTCTGCCTGGAGCCTTGGAAGGCAGCCCAATTGCCGCGTACCCCACGTTCTGGCTGAACTGAATACTGGATTCACGTTTATGCTGCACAAGGAAGCTGGATACAGGTGGCTTTGCAGCTGGCCAGAAGATTTAAACTGGGCCCTGCAGATAATCAGCCTTAAGCTGAAGCCCCAAGTGGCCTTTACAGGCAGGTCTAAAAAATGGATCATTTTCCAGACTCCTTTAAGTTGAGTTTATTCCTGGTGACTGCATCCATGCAGAGATTTCTGGCAGCGTTACAGTAGTAATTTGCTAGTGGCTTCTTCTGGGATTGTTATTATTTTTCTTCTTCTCAGACTAGGCTATTGGCTCTGGCATTCCCAAGCAATCTCCCATCCAAGTCTAAACTAGTCCTGCTTAATTTGTGAGATCATCAAAGGTCAGTAAAATGCTGAGGCATCCCCAGTTTTCCTAAGGTCTGCAGGAACTCCATGGAGCAAGTCTTCAACAAGCCCTTGAGAAGCAGGCTATTAGCTATATCACCGGGCCTTAACAACTGATTTTCCTAGTTGCTGCAAAGTTTTCTTTTCCTGGAGCCTCCACAGTGTGTGAACCTGGGCATTTGTAAAAGAATGTGATAAACTTCCTTGTTTGGTTGAACTTTTTTTTTTTTATAAGTCAAGCTATATTATTTAGATTTGGTGGGTTCATGTGTCAACATTAGCAAGCTGTGGGTTATGTTCCATTTGCCAATATACTGATATAACAGGAGTATGATGATGGCTATGGATCCATTATCCTGGATAGAATCTTTTCATTACATAATTGAAATAACTGCAGCTCCTAAGCAAATGGGTTTAAAAAAAAACAGTTTCTGTTTATCAGCTTTCAATAGGGCAAGATACCTCAGTGTCTGATCCAAGGATACCCTCGCTTATAACTTTCACGTGATTTATTTTTCTACCCTTTCCTATTGAAACGACCCTTCTGAAGTTTACTGTGAAGGCGCTGATCAATAGCAAAGATTTCACAGCAGGAATTTCTCAGAATTGAATTCACTAGTAATAGGTGTGCAACTATAAAGGCACGATAAAAAAAAATGATCCAGGAAAATAGATATTTATTTGCAACTTCGGAGTAGCATGTTGGTAGTCTGTAAAAAAACCTGTCCAATGGCAAAGGAGTGTTAGTTTTTTGTTTTTTTTTTAATGCAGAGGTATTTAAATTCCTATTTAAACATGGAATTTATGAGAAGCGGGCTGAATGAGAGCACAAAATTTGTTTGTATGATGGAACTCTCACTACAAAGAATTTAATTATCTATCTAAATGTTAACTGTTGGGCAAGAAGGGTATAAAAAGTTGGAAATAACTAGAAACTTAACCAAAGAGAGGGCTGCTACTGGGGGTAGAATCTTCCATTACTGTTACAACGTGTGTATGCTGAAGCTTTGCATTTTGCTGCAGATCCAAAAGTGCAAGGAACCCTGTCCAACAGAACCTGCATCAAAAAAGATGGTTCTGGCAGGCTCCATTATACATTGCATTACAGCGTCAGGAGCCATTGTGAGATGGAAGATGCTGTCTGTGACAAGCGTTCTGGATTCAACTTGTGTCAGGCAGAGAGCCTGAGTTTGATACAGGCAGAGCCCTGAACCATGTTACAGAAATATCTCGGCCTTTTCTATTTCCTTTGATAAGATCACGATCTTAAACAGATCCTGGTTCTCTTTTCAAGGAAAAAGGGAATATGAAGTCTCTACTTTATCCAGACTCACAAGCCAAAGAATTCCCCCACCCCCTCCATTTTAAATCTCATTCGGCCACACTATACTTGCCTTTCGTTCTCATGTCCCTTAATCGGTACAAGTCTTAACTTTCTTCAACTATCTACCTGGGCCCTAGGGATTGGGAGAGAGGTCGGAAGGAAGGAAGAAGCTTTTGGAAGTCGGTATGCCGCCCGGGTCATTATTATCTCTGGAAGAAGTGCTCCGAAGATCTCGGCCACTTTCTTTGGGGTGATGCCTGAGTAGGCAGCAAAGCTGAGTTAGGTACCCCACCCTTACCGTATTGGCGAAGCGAAGCGAAGCTTGCTTACTGGCCTATTTAATCGCAGGGCAAGAAGCTGAGCTGCAGCAGGTGAAGGGTTAAGTGCAGGCTCAGCTGTTCCGGATTTTCTTGGTTTCCTAGCGAGCTGTTTGATATCTGAATGCACAGGGGACTCCCCCGCCTCCCAGCCCTCTCTTTCTTCCCCCTACCCCCACGCGCGCACACGCGCACACACACACACACACACACACACGCACACCCTTTGCAGACCATGCGCTCGCTCAGCCGCTTCGTCTAATGGCACCGACTCTCAGCCGGCACGCTGCTCCTTCGTTGTTTGAGCCGAGGACACAGAAGGCAGGTCTTCTCATGGAGCCCTCTTAAATAGCTCCACACGAGGGAGCTGCCAAAGGGGTGGGGGTGGGGGCAAAAACGGAGAAAAAGCAAGTACTGTGAAGAGAAGAAGCAGAAGGAGCTGCCAACATCACCGCTCCTGGGTTTGCTGGCGACCCTATGCTCTGCTCGATGGCTAACTCAGGCTGCCTCCTGGTCTCCAACTCAGCCTTGCTCCCGCACTCTCTCCCTTGTCCCCCAGCCTTCCTCTACCTCCAGCAGGTAAGTCGCCTCTTTGTGCCTCCTGTCCACACGTGGTTGCCCCCCCCCCCAGGGCTAAAAGATCAGGGCTTCCGTCGCCGCTACCCCGGGCTCCCCAAAGGCAGGTCTACCTCGCTCACAGGTTGGAGATGGGCTCCAGGTTAACACCTGTGCGCTGTCTGGCTGCAGTAGGGCTGACTTGGCAGCCAGCTCAAGATCAAGGAGATGACACTTCTGTGAGCTTGCAAGTGGGGGGGGGGGGGGGGGTGCGGCACTGTTCAACTTTACCTCCCCCCCCCCCATTAAGACAAATAGGTGGCTGTGTTGTATATCTGGAGTGTGTACCTGTTTGTGTTACCCCATTGAGAATGTGTTTAAAGCCTGGCTTCTGCCAGCAGATGCCACGCATGTGGGCTATCTCGCTCTTGCTCTCTTTCCGCTGCCTTTTTTGTTGCAGTCAAATTTTATGCTTCCAGGGTGGTCTGGATGTGGCTGTTTTGTATGTAGACGTGTGAAGTAATCTAAAAGACGGATCTGTCTGTCTCAACTTGGCCCTCCGAAGTGCTGCAACCCAATTTCCAGCCAGCTTTGGTTTTGCCAGGCATGTCTCCCCTTCGCTGAAGCCTCTCACTGCAATGTGAGTCTAGTTCCTTAACTTCTCTCAAGGGGAGAGGGGGGGGCTTGCGATGCCCACAGCACCCTCCCCAGCAGGGCCGCGGCACTTTCTTTCACTTTGGCACGGTGATCAAGGAGCCGCACATGTTTCTCGCCCGGGATCTCCAGAGGAATGGAAGCTGTTGCCTTCAAAAGTCTCTTTGCAGCATCGGAAATCCCTGTCTCCCAGCTGTGCTAACCCTTCCATTTGAGCTCAAAGGAGTTTTTAAAAATTCATAGCTTCCTAACCATTGGCACTAAATAGTTGACGTGGCCAGCCACCTTTGGGGTAGAAGGGCAGTCCCGGGCTTCTTCTAAAATCTTAAATAAAAGAAGGGAGGCTATTACCGTTTGCTTTAATGCTTCAAACCTTTGAATGGAAGGAGAAGATAATTCACACCTAGGACTTCCTTAAGTTTGCAGAGTAACACGGCTTCTCCCTCCCTCTCTCTCTCTCTCTCTCTCTGCAATCTGGAGAAGGGGAATTCTCTGAATCATGATTTTTCTCTTTTCTTAGTACATGTTCGTCAGAGAGAGCCAGAATGGAATGGCTCCTATTCCAGAGGAAGCATGGGAGTTTGGGTAATTGTAATTTCAGTGTCTTCTTGCTAAGGCATGGAATTCCCTGGGAAAATGAAGACTCATTCAGAAAAAATATCACAAGTCAGCTGCATGAGGGATTTATGAATAGTTGAAGGGCATACTAGGAAAGCCTCTCTTGCTTTGAACTAGGAGACAGACTGGGTTAATATGGTTAAAACACGGAGGGTATTCTGTTAGGGGGAATCCTTTGGGGTTTTTGCTTTTGGTCGCACTGCGTAGCCCTTCAGCCGGCTAAGACTTCAGGAAAGCTGCATGGACGTTTTGCCTGGTGCATATTGCATTTCCTCTAGACTGGGCAAGGGAATATTGCAAGCAAGTTCATTAAATGAGTGGTTACAGCCCAAAACATCAGCACAGGGGAATTTAAGGGAAGGAGAAGCTTCATTGAATATCTTGATTTTCTTAGCTTTTCTCAAGCCTCCTTATTTTCTTCTGGCTTCCCCACCCTCTCTGCTTCCTAAGCCGCCTCCACTTTGTTTGTAGGTATTAAGTGTATTGGGGGAAGGGGTGTTATATAATTTTAGGGAGATTATTTGTTTGCGACTTACTTGTTTTTGGAGAATAGGCTGAAATTTCTCTTTTTTTACACTGGGCAGGAAACAATCTGCATCTGAAGTTTTTATTCATTATCAAATTAATTTAAATTAAAAATTAATTTAAAAACCATTAAATGATATTTGAAAACAAAACAAAAAATAACTGGCAAAAACTATGTACTTAAGGGGAGGCCTATGTGGAAGCTGCAGCTTGGGACACAATTATTCCTGTCCTGTCCCCCACCATTTTGATTCAGGTTTATTCCTTTGAGGCCTTGTGGCATGGAGACTGAATGTAGGCTCGCTGCCATGGTTCATTTTGGGGCATTCAGGAGTAACTTTAAGGTTGATCGTTAACCTTAATTGTGGCTCAGTTCCTATGGTGGCGGGGGGGGAAACACCACACATTTGATAGTAAGCAAAATATCTGCTCAGGGAATTTTCAACCAAGTTAAAATCTGAACCCCATAATCAACCCATAAAAGTTGATTATGAAAACTGGATTACGCAGACTCATCAATACGTTTGTCAAATATCAAGAGTGCCCAGTTTCAATTTACCTCCAGCTCTTACTTAATAAGCAGAAGTTTGGTGACATTCAAACAACAGTCTAGAGCCAGTTCAAGATTTTTGACTTTGGCAAGAATATGTCCAGATGCCATGCACACACACTCTCATGGTCCTATAAGAATTAGATAATTGACAATTTTGCGAGATTTTAATGGAGCTCCAGATATGGCAAATTGAAGCTGCCATTTCACTGCCTCTCCAAGGGAATATGTATGTTTCTTCCCGTTACTTTTATTAATACTTGTTCCTGTAAACACCTTTTAGAAAAGGAATATTTTTTAGTAGCTGGGGATACATATTAGCTGAACGAATCCTTGGCCTAACACAATACTTTTATCACACTAATTTATCTTGTTTGCAAAATAAAGATTCGTCATTCAAAAGTTTAAAAATTGAATATTTTGGCCCAGCTTTAATAGTGATGATGCTAATATGTTCAGTCATAATAGGATTATTTTTGTATATATTTTAACAGTTGGTTACATGTTCACAGATGTTAAATGTAAAAGGATCCCTAGTGCAATCCCTAGTGGTCCTTTATCTCTTATAGATGCGTTGTTGAGAATTTCTCCTCTAAACTTCCAAGATTAAAAACCATAAAAATAAGTGTCTCCTTCATTAGTCCTTGCTAATTGCTTGACACTTGGTGTGCATATAAATGGATGTGTGTCATATTGTACATTATATTAACTTAACTGATCCATTTGGGAGTACATCACCAAAATATTGCATTGTTTTAGGCTAGGAAAAGTATAATCTTACATAGCATTTACAGGCAAATTCAGAATTGGTTCCAGAAATCAAAGCTTTAAGAAACAGGTTTAGGAAATAGTAAAATTTCTTCTGCATATAGAGAAGCAGTAAGTGTGGAGTTAAATAAATTAGTATGCTTTTATAATGGATACCTGTGCATAGGTGTTTGTTATCATACATATAAGATAGGCATATATTTTAGATGTTTAAAAGTAGATTGAAAATGTGGGGGGCTTTATATCTGGAGCAAGCTGAAAATTATTGTTTATGTCCAATGACTAGCTGAATTGTTGATGTGAATTTCCACACTATTGGCAGGGAACATTACTGGTAAATGGTAGGGCTGAAATTGGATTTTACCACAGTCCAAATAAAATTTGAACGTTTGTTTCATTAAGTTTGATTTGCTCCATCCCCTAGTGAATGTCAGAGTTGTAGTTGAATTACTATAATATTAATTTGTCCCTTATATAGTGAGGTATTGAGATGTGTCTGTCCTATGATATGCTGTGATCTACTGTCACCCAAATCCCATTGCAGATGCATTGTAATTTTTTTTTAATTTGGAGATGGGGAGATTAACATGCCTACCACATGCTAGGTGAAGTCTGAAAGCTGCTTCAGATTCTGTCAAGATGTTGAGTTTCTCTAAGCTGTGTGTGCCTTCAAATTAGAAGTGCTTTCCTTCTGACAAAATGCAGATTTAACTCTTTCCAAAACCCTATTTTGAGTTGCTGTTCCGAAGTGTGTATGTAAAATTCAGCTGCTATTCTAGTCACAAAACTCTCACACACATTCTGCTTTAACAAAGGGAATGAAAGAGTACAGCAGAGTTTAGTCTATGAAGAGGACTCACAATTCCTTCCACACATGGCGCACACATTGATTTGGAAACTGATTATCTGTTGATGGAAGCCATATAAAAGGCAAACTTTGCCTTTGCTGGAGTTTTTTTAAAATGAAATGCATGCGCTGCATGCCCACACATAAACTGTCCCATGTTCAGTAGGTCTTTTTAATATTTCATTATGATCTCCAATATTTGGAAGACAATGGTTTACAAAGATTGGTGGCAAAATACAACCAAAAGCTGCCTCAAAGAGCCCAGACTGTCCTGTCTCCTTCCCAGCCCCTCCAGGCTCTGCTGGCCCGATTAGCATCTGGATCTGTAAGTGGATCTCATAGATCAGTGGTCGCCAACCAGTAGGCTGGGGACCAACTGGTGGTCCGCGAAAAAATTTGGGTGGTCCGCAGAGAAATGTCAGCCCCAAAGCAATTAATCCAGGCTGCGTGAGAACACAAGGCTGCGCCACCCTACATGGCCCACGGGAACACAAGGCTTGCGTCGCTTGCATTGCGAACAACATGAGGTAGTGAGGGGAGGGAGGAAAGGGCGGAGGGGGGGGGAACTTGCCCCACTCACCCCATGCGCCTCGCCTGGCCATTGGGCTGCTCCTTTCCGCTTCTTTCTTCTGCTGCTTTTGGCTGCACGCAAGGAAAGTAGCAAAAGTTTTTCTTTCTCTCCTCCAAACTCCGCCAGAAATGAGTCTTTGGGACCCTGCAAGGCATCTTTGTTCCAAGAGGCTGTGCTGGTGTGACAAATCTCACAAAGACTCATTTCTGGTGGAGTTTGGGGGAGAGAAAAAAGACTTCTGCTGCTTTCCTCGCATGAAGCCAAAAGTCTCTCTCTCTCTCTCTCTCTCTCTCTCTCTCTCTCTCTCCGCCCCCTCTCCCTCTCTCTCTCCCCCTGAGAACGGAGCTGGAGACGGTATCCTGTGATCCCAAATAAAGAATGATCGATCGGTAGGAAAACGGGCTGTGGAATTTTCCTGCAGACTTTTTGGGGGATTTTCCCAGGGTCTCTGCTCCGCGGGATTTAAAATTATGAGTTTGGTGGTCCCTGAG